TATTTTTGATGCTTGTTCCAGTCAGTCTCTAACTGTTTAATGATCATAGGTAATTATTTGCTAAGAATATGTATCATTTAATAATCACGTTTAATCAAGAAAGTAATTTTATATTTGTTGTTTATTTTATTGAAATCATAATAAAAAATATGTTAGCAAAAAAAAAGGAGAAATTATTAAACAGAGTATTCATTTAATTCTTATCGCATTTCAAGTATTTCTCATTGTATGTTTACTCTGTTCTTCTAATAAATTAAAAATTGTGATCTTTTATTGATTCTTCTTTTCTTCTATGTTATTTCCTGTCATGCCTTATTTAATGTTTTAAAAAGCTACATGTGTAATTAATTTTTAGTATTATAAGCACAGAGACTTTGTAATAATCCATTTTTCATGTTGGAACCTCAGTGTGTTATATGAATTAACCTCATGTGAGGGATTGAATAAATATAACTCGTGCATTGTCTGTGAGAATTTATTTTATGTACAATAAAATTGATTTAAAGCACAATTTGAATGATAAAGAGGACATATGTTTACATGAGTGGCGAAATATGTTTCTAACTTATAAATTATAAAGATAGCTACATGAAAATATATTTATATGATACGCCTTGGCAGCATAATGGAATAGAAGTATTGGCTGGAGTAGAAGCTTAAATTTTGAGGATTTATGGTTCCTTTACAATAAAGAAAATTTGTAAATATATTTTATTTTTTATTTAAATGCTAAATATTTCAATTTTCATTATTTTAATTAAACATTATTAGATGTATAAAAAAAAAAAACATAAAGATATATAAGTATTTTGATAATTTTTAAATCAAATTTTGAAATCAATAATATTAATGTCTTTCATCTTCTTTAATTAAAAATAGACAAATGTTATAGACAGTGCTGTTTTTCCTAGTCAATGTTCACTATTATTTGATGATTCTTATATCATATTTACAAGAATGTCGAGACAGCAGTAAGATAAATAGTAAGATGGACTTAGCATATATACATGTTGTATATATTAAATACATGAATATACATATCTATAATGGGCTCAAATATTATAGAAATTCTGTGACTAGAATCTGTGACGAATCTCTTTTACCATATAATTACGAGAGCGTTTTGTTTCCCTCTGTACTTAAATCTAATTTCTTCCCTTCTTCTTATAACAAGAATATGTTCGGGAATCGTTAAGATAAATTTAAACTTATAGTATTTTTTATTTTATACAATTATCCGAAAACTAAATTAGGAATTAAACAGTTTATCAATAAACACTAGCTATTTATTGATGTTTATTGATCTTCTTTTATTAAATAAAAAATATAGCTGTAAATAAATAATTTTTGCAATGGAAGAAAAGTGATCAGTAGATGCTATTTTGTAAATTTGATAGAAATATATTTACAATTCTTATATTAATGTCTAGTTTTTTAACGATTTTCTTTTAAAATTTATCTATATATTTTTGCTTGCGCTTATGCGATGAACGTCATTTTTTTAACTGTGACTATATTATTTTACATGCTATTCGTGAAATTAAATTAAAAGACACTTATATTTATTATAGAGTACATTTTAGTTTGATTACAATTATGGCGTTTCTCATCCATTCTTTTTATTCTATCTTAAAATAATAATTTTTATTTTAAATCTATACATACGAATAAAAGGAAATATGCGCAATATATATGTATATGTATATATACATGCGTGCGTGCGTGCGTGTGCGCGCGCGCGCGTGTGTGTGTGTGTATGTACATATATATCAATTTTTCGTTTTATGTGAAAATAAAGTTTTAAAAATGCTGTAAGTTTACTAAGAAAAATACTGGAAATTGATTTTATATTTTATTAGTACTTTATTGAATTAGTCATCTAAATCACTCTGAATATCAACTATGCTTGAGAAATATGAAAAATTATGAAATTCTTTAAATATCTTTTATTCCAATTAGATTTTTTTTTAAATTGCATTAGCAGTAATTTTTTTGATCTTGTCATTCCAATAATGGTCAGGAAACAGAAAATCTTTCTTCATCAATTGACGAATGTTAGTTGGGGTTGATCAGTATGTAAGTTTCAAAAAGTAATAGTCCAAGAATGCAAGTTACAGAATTCTCTACAGCCAGAAGTCTTCCCCGAGGAAATGTCGCACTGGGTTTTTCTGACTTTGAAATTCGATTTATTTTCTTCGAAGAGCTTAGTACGTGACTAACATGCCGGAAACTCGCGAAACCTACTCGGTCAGAGTTAGCAGATTACTTTAAACATTTTTTTTTTAAAGTAACACTGCAGGAGTGTAATATTTTTCCAGTGAAGTTTAACTTCTGATCTTAATAGCTTTTTATTGGCCTATTTGGCGTACAAGATTTTTTATTGTATTTATAAGTTTTTGAATTTTTTCATAAAATACAAAGAATGCTTAAATAGAACATAAAATTTAAAATAACGGAAAACTTAAATTAAATAAAAATGATTACCATAAGCACGTATATTTAAAAGTATTTTAAGACTGAAAATTAAAGGATTTTACTGAATTAAGATATTATCTTATAAGATAAAAAGAAATCTTATCCTTCAATTGATTAAATTTTTTTGTTTTTGAACATTTGTATGATTCAGAGAAGATAAAATAAAACTTTAAGAAAATATTGGATTGGAGAAAAAGTTCTGCGGAATTGTGTTAGCTCAAAATTATATACAGAATATATTTGTTGTGAAATTTTCGACTATTTGGCGTGAAAGCTTAGTTTTTCCTAAAAATTCATTTTTAAAAAATGTTCCTATGACTTTTTGTTACCAAGTTACACGCGGATTAAATAAAAGAGCATTCTGATTTTGATTACTCATAATTCGATTAAAAATCGTACCATAATTAATAAAACAGATTTAAAGACATTTTTAAAGAACATTTTTAAAGACAACAGATTTTGATTTAACAAAATACCGCAGAACTTTTCTTTCAATCCAATACGTATTAGATATTCCTGACACGTACTCTAAAATTCTTATCAAAAGTATAAATAGTCTATTTTTATTACATTCGATGTGAAACATAGCTATAAATTGTTCATATCATTCTTTTAACTTCTTTACTTTTTCTTACTCTATCAAGATAAGATTTGATGTTGTGAGAGAGAAATATCATTTTTATAAATTTAATAGAGATTCTCATTTTCTTTATCCTTATTCTAAATATATTTACATGTATTTATGTATTTGCAACATTCTTTAAATTTATTAGATATTAATACAATCTTTTAATTGTCGAGATATTGAATTAATATTAAAAAGTAAAAACTTGTGAAAGATAAAATTCAAGATTCTTGAAACAAAAAATTTTTAAATTTTCTTCAATTGTGAGGGAAATCTATTATTTTATATTTGGAACTATGATTCATATTTTTTATTTTTTTATTATTTCCATTGCAAGTTTCAGGATTCAAAATCAATTTTGATGGGATATTCTGTTTGATACTTAACATCTTTTGTCACGAAAAGGGAAAATTTCTTATTGCTTAATCTAATAATTATACTTAATTCATTAATTTATATTAATCTATTAAGCCAATATCGCTTTGCGTCTTTTATGAACAGTAAGAAAATTCATGTTTAGTGATTACGGAAACATGAATTAGTATAATCGCGTGACTGCTTAAAGTATTTGAAACAGAAATTGATGTCGGTGACATTAAGATCGATTCACAATTGATTCTTATATTTAATCCTTCGGTTTATTATATATTTTGTTATGTATATAATGCACTAGGTATTTTGTAAAAATATCAATTACATGTATACAAATTATACATGTAAAATTCATTATACCTTATACATTTTTTTTTTAATGAAATGTCAGATATTAAGGTATATAACAGTAACAAACAAATGTATCTTTAATAATATAAAATTTATAGCTGCATATAAACTAAAAGAAACAGTCGGGTATGTCATTACAGTGGTACCAGAAGGCTTAAGATGTCATAAGTCAATCACAGAATTGTATTAGCATTTTAAGGCATTACTTAAGACAATCTAAAATAAGAATGAACTGTGATATCGGTCTTACTAAGATTAGTTTATTTCTTTCTTTGACATTCGACTAGATCGTCTTGAAGCAAGATAGCACTTTCGGAAAATCACTCTAAGGATCATCATTGCAAGAAACTTGACCTTTCTGAGTTCTTTCACGACAGGAAATACGAAAACTGTTATTTTTAACGATCCTTTTCCTTTATTTCGAAGTTGGCGGACGGCTATGCCGTCCCGCAGGATTACAACATTCAAGCTTGAGAATTGGACCGAACTTTTCCTAAAGGTACAATAATATTGATTGTTCAATGCAGTGCTGAATCGTCCTCATTCTTATTCTTATGTCTCTCTATCCATTCTGACGTTCTGGACATCGGAATTGCTAAAATAACTGCGGGAACATAAATGGAGGAAATATTATAATACCGGTTATTTTGCTGATTATACTTTTTCTATTTTCATTTTTATTCTATTCTTTTTGGTTTATATAGATTGTCTTAATGCCCGGTTAAGATTCTCAACAGAATTCCTGATTGAATAATAAAAATACAAATTTTGATTAAAAAATTAAAATAATGAATAATCATATTGGTTATCTTATTGTTTATTATTATGGTATAAAGTGGTCTATCAATTATTCGTCTTGCTTCTTCTGAATGTCTTCTTGCTTCAGTTTCGACTAGATGATATTTTAAATAATCTAGGAAAAATATTAAATATAATGTTGATTATCTTTTACATCGCTTTGGTCCTTTTTGACATCCTTTTAACATTTGACATTTTGAATGCAATTAAAATATCAATAGGATGCTTTGATTTTAATAACATTTTATATCACTTATAATATATCAAATAATATATCAGAAAATGTAGCGAGCGATTATATGTCATAGATTACAGCGTAAAGATATCATTCTTCTTGTTCTATCAATTCTAACTAATTAAACTAATTAAAAATTTCGGCAAGCGATTGAGACACAGTTGATTTCTGGCAAGATAACAAATGTAAAAGACTGACATTTTGTTGTCTATTGGCATTGGAATTATCACATTCTACTTTTTTTACTACTTTTAATGAGTGAAAATTCTTAACATTGATTAAAAACATTCGGCAGATTTCTAATTGTGTAATAAACATGAAGGACAGCTGTTGCTGTCTATTATAGTGTAGAATCGCCGTTCTCTTCTCTGGTCCAACTATTGCGACTATTCGACGTTCTCGATATTTGACTAAGATTTCTCACTGAATTCTTGCCCGGATAAAAGCAAGAACCGGGGCTGATTGGTCTATTGTTCTTCAGGCTCTGTCTGGTGCTGCCGTTGGACACGTGGATGTTGTTATTCCAGTTGATGGTGTTGGCACGGTGGAGATGACCGTGCCTGACTGAATTTCTTAATTCGATATTCGTCGTGATGACCGATTCGTCGTAAGTCTGAAACTCCGGACTGTCCCGGCCTGGCACAAACAGCCTGGACGAGCAGAAGAGCTTAAGGAATATTCTCTTGAACTTCCGACCGAAGATCACGTAAATGATGAAGTTGATGCTGCTGTTGATAGTCACCAACAGATTGCCGATTTGCACCATCCATTGCGGCGGATCTGCGATGAATGTCTCATGCGCATTTGAAATCATAGGCAGGATATTACAGATCAGGAACACGATCACCACGCACATCAACATCGTCGCCAGGCCGATCTCTCGACGCTGATGACGCGACAGCTGCTGCAGGTCTCTGTTCGCCTTTCTGACCTGAAAACCGGCATACGCCTAAAGACATTATGAGACATAATCCAACATTTCTATTAGAAAAAGAAATCTTTTATCTTTCTTTTTTATCTTGAATTTTCATGGGATATGATATAATTTAACTTTAATAAAATTTTTACTTATAAGATAGGCAATTAAATTAGAATAGTTTATAATTGTATTTTATCAAGAAATAACATATCTTATTACGTGATGTAATATTCACTTTATTGCTGCTATAAAAAAACCATCTTTCTATATTTATCTTGCTTCAATAATACATTTTTTGATTGTTTGATATAAAAAAGTAAAGCCTTACGAGAGAAATGTATTTGATAAATGCCAAAATAGCGTTTTGTTAATAAAAATTGGTCTGTTTACTCGTCTCGCGAGACTAATAATTGAATTTATATGTTAGTTGATACTATGAATTTTGTCATATTATAAATTTTGCTGGATTTTTAGGCAAACAGTTTTTTAACGTTTAAATTTCCAAGTATCGTTCGATGATGTAATGCACGATAAGCAGAAGGTATGTGCTGATTCTCAAATAAGATTCTGAAAAAAGAAGATCGATTGATATCTTTGAAGAAACGCGATTAATTACAAAATCGACGAAGGTAGGTTAATGAGTTCTTGTTTTTCCGGGATACGATGAAATAAACAGAGCAATTATCCGCATGAACAAGGAACCGTTAGAAATATGAGATAAAAAGAACATGATAATCATTCAAATGGGTAAATTAAATTTGTATTAGATAGATCAATAGAGCTTATTACGTTTCTTAAAATGAAAATTACAAAAGTGAATTTGCTCGTTTTTATAACTTTCATCTCGTTTCAAGAACTGTAGCAACCCAACTATATTTCATTGTTATAAATTTCATAAAATTTAATATACTTTTAAATTACAAAATTTGAACTTAATTTCATGACATTATATTAAATTTAATATATTTATAACTAAACAGTATAAATATATACAATACGGTACATGTAGACCAAACATATAATATAATATAATATGCACATGTACACAAAATAAATTTATGTACATGTATATGAAATTTAATGTACTTTTTATAAATTTTTATGAAATTTATGAAATTTAATGCACATTTTCATTACATTTAAATAATTATTGTAACTTAATTTTCAGTTAAATCATTCATTATTTAATTTCGTTCGTAATCACAAGCTTCATTTACATGTAAAGGAAGCATTTCTAACAGTTTCTTAAATATTATTGGTTTTTAAAAAAAAAAATTGGAAAACCATAATAAAAATCGAAAAAGAATATATATATATATATACAT